GTCCACTCCCAGCTGGACTAACTCTCTATCTTACACCCTGATGGTGACTCCCCTCACCAAACACCTACTAAAGGCCTGTCCAAACAGGATACTACAAAACTCACGACTCCGGCAAATCGTGCCGAGCTCCGCTTCCGGCCGTCGGAGGGAAATTTCCCTCCGTCAATTCTTCCCGCGGGGAAACTTCCCCCCGTCAAATATCCCCCTCGCTTCCTCCACGGCGGCCTTGCTCTGCTCATCACGTGGGTCCGGAGAGCCACTCACACGCTCTGTTGGCTGTCGATCAATCGCTCAAGGCCTCCGCTCACAATACGGAACCGCGTCGGACGCCATCACCACGAAAGTGAATCTCGACAAAGAAAGCAGATTCGAGGCGGGCGAAACGCACCCTTCGACGCAGGAATGTCCCAAATCCACCCGAAGCCGGACCCCCTTGGCCTTCGAGCCGAGGCGACGGCGGTACGCGAGGGCGTTGGCAAGGTGAGCCAGACGCAGGTGGCGTGTGACGTCGGAGAAAAGTGGAGGAGGCGAGGAGAGAAGTCGTGATCGTGGAAATTTTCACGACTCCTGCAAAAACTTCTACGACTCCGACAAATCGTAAAAATGGAAGTGTCTGCTTCGATTTTCACGATTTGTCGGAGTCGTGTGTTTTGTAGTGTTCTGTTTGGACACCCCTTAAAGGGGTACTCCGCCGTTTTCTTTATAGTCCCCGATTTGCCTAAAAGCTGGCTAGGCACACCAACAAACATCGCTGAACTAGTGACCCAAATATTTGGACAATATAACTTTTTTTCGTGCAGTTACAGAATTTACAATTTTGGACCTCATCGTGTTTTTCAATGTGAAAAGCTCTACGGGCAACATTGAAAAAGTGACATCATGGTTGGGTAGGAGTTCACTCTTTGGGCTGTAGACTTTGTTCACATCTGATTACAAACAGTTTCATGGTGTCAAATGAATGCTTTGGAAGGTCGCTCCAGCTCCCGCGCAGCAGCACGATACAAATGCTCGGCATAGTTCATATTTAGACTGCCCGCTCGAACCGCAATCCATCCCAACCGTGACGTCAGGGCAATGAAAAGCGCGGGCATATTCGAATCTTCCGTTTTGGCGTCGTTTTCATTTGCCGATTTCACAATAACTATTCTGAATTTCGCGATACTAAATAGCACACCGAAAAGAGTAACGGACAGCGATTTCGAATATATGGTTAGTTGGGGTTGCTCAAAATATCGCCAGAGTGCCCCCTACAGGGAACCCCTGCCCCAATTGCTGCTTTGATCACGCCGATCGCATTAATACCGATCGGCAGATATGAAAATAAAGTGGAGCAGCTCGGTCGAGCTCTCCTCGACGTGGTTGACGAACGCCATTCTGCATCAATGCCGTCGTGTACGGAGCATCGATTCGTCTGGGACGATGAAGCAATGCAAGGGGCTTTGCTGATGATGCCATGACCAACTGTTTACGTCCTCGGCGGCCATAAACCTCGGCCGATCGGCTAGCCGCTCCAACCCTCTTAATCAATTCATTTCTCCCCTAATGTGCCACAAAGCAAACCATTTTTGCCCATTTTTGCAATTTTAATTCGCTTATACCTCCCCAAATAATGCCAATTTCCTGAAAAAAAATTTTCTTTTCCGTGTTCTTATGTTCTATGAGCTCCGTCCTCACCGCAATTATCAAACACGTAAAAAAAATCGCTAGAGGGCCCCTTGAAAATAAAAGTATTTTCTGAGAATGCCGATAGAAAATCGTCGGAAAAGCAAAAACTGTCGACGAAGAGATCATTTTGTTAGTTTCGAGACACGTCGAGCTTGATTAATACCCCGAGTGAATTGAGCAATGGGGACGACAATCTGCTCGATCTGTTGTTCTGTTAAGGGGACACACCCCCTAGGGGGGTCAACTTTTGAACCCTTGTCTTAAAATTAATGAAATTTACAGGGTAGGCTGGTGGTCATGCTAGAGGGTGCACAAAAAAATTCCAGGTCTGTCGGTTAAATGAGAAGGAAATAAGAGTAGCTTCTATCTGCAACACGCCTACGTTGTTTAGTTAATCTATCGTCAGAAAACTATTGCGATATTAAAGATTTTTATTTGCTAGATATGTAGCAAAATGCCTAGAGGGTGCGGCTATGAAACATTTTTTCTAAAAAGTAATTCATTTCTATAAATTTTTTTTCTGCAAAATTGGTCAACGTTTTGGTCTTCTGTGCCTTCGACAAAATGTCAACATTTTTTACAAAAGACATCCGTAACGTGACAAAAAAGTTCCATAGCCGCACTCCTTATTAAATTTCAGTCAAGAAAAGGGAAGAATGAGCTTTCCCTGTTTTGCCATTATCAAACGATAGATTGACTAAAATGGAATTTATACCAAAAAGTGGAACGGAGAAATATGTGTTCAAAGTGCTCCAAACCCTACATTTTCTATAGCTTTGATGGACAGAAAATAATTTATAAAACATTAACTATACAGTGAAAATTAATGAAACTTTTAGAGAATACTCTCTAGATGTTGGTGGATGTAAAGATGTCATTTTTCAAAATCAACGTTTTTTGCAAAAATTTTTTTTTTCTGGGCAGTGTCTTCCCTTAAAAAAATGCCAGCACGTGGGCGGGGAGGTGCCGTCTTAATCTTTGTCCTCGCATCAGGTAGGGGCCAGGCAATCCTAGAAACAAACCGAAAACTAAAGACATCGTGGCAAAACCGAGAGTTAAGCTGAGAGCTTGAGGATTCTTTATGAAATTTCTCGAACCCCACCTTACGCTGGCCCTTTTAAGGGTGGTCCGTCTGGCTCCCACACTCAAACAAGTTTGAGACTCCTGCCACAGGCAATCTAGTTTCAGCCGAATTGGTCCGTGTAAAAAATACAAAATCAGTTCAAACCTAGACCCCCCCAAATTTTGGAAATTTCTGCTACAGCTAGGACTGCTTTTGTCTTAACTCCACTTAGAGGAACTTAGCTTTTCGCGAGATTTTTTTCATCAGTTTTTGGTAACCGTTCGAAACAGATAATCGAAATACACCTTTACTTCGCGAAATAAATAACCACCGGAGAACACCCGCCGATATCTCATAATTTCGACATAAAAATCGACATAAATATGTCGATTTTCATGTTCCTTGTCGCGTTACCAGAAATTTTACTGACTTTTATACTAAATTCATGTCTAAACTTTCACCACTGTCCCGTATGCAAATTTCATTTAATACAATCGCATCGTCTAGCTTGGACATCTTCACAGATCTCGTAGTTTTTCGCCGGAACTTGGGAAGTCTAGTTAAAAGTTGATACTACAGTAAAACCTCGTTATAAAGAAGTTGAAGGAGCGGTCGTAATTATTTCGTTATAACCATTAGTTTGTTATAGCCAATGTCCATTTCTTCCAACTATTCAAGCAAGGGGAATTATGATTGCTTTATTATATCCATTACTTTGTTATATCCCATTTTGTTATAACAAGGTTTTACTGTATTACATTTTGTGTGAAGTGTGCGACGTATTTGTTGTCATGCTAATTCGTACATTTTAAGCTGTGCGTGTGCTATGTTTCTTCTTTTGTTTTGTGTGCGCCAATATGAAGACCCGCGTGGTTGTTTTTGGGCACATTAAATAAACAAATTATTATTATTATTATTATTATTATTATTATAAACAAATGCCAGGAAATGGAAGGGTTAAATATACAGCATAGATTTAACTATTTTGTAATGAAACCTGACATGCTTCTTTCAAAGACGGACACTTTCCGGCAGCTGTGCACGGCCATCACTGGCCTTCACATTGTTTCCTTTCATCACCTCAGTCGATCAGGGCTTTGCGTGAATTCTCTGTGACCCATTTCAGTGGCATCTCGGTGAAGCAACAGAAGGTCACTTATGGTGGCTCGAATTTGGCGCAAGAGAGTTCTATACTTTCCCAAAAAAGGATTACACGTTTGTAGTCTATAATTTCTAACGAGCCTTCCTAGTAGCTAGAGAGACAAGTGGCAGTTTTGTGAAGAATTAACAAGTCCCTCGTATCTGGGGTAATTTGGCGCCAGAGAGTTCCATACTTTCCCGAAAAGGATTACATGTTTGTAGTCTATAATTTCTAACGAGCCTTCCTAGTAGATAGAGAGACATATCGCAGTTTCGTGAAGAATTAACAAGTCCCTCGTATCTGGGGTAATTTGGCGCCAGAGAGTTCCATACTTTCCCGAAAAGGATTACATGTTTGTAGTCTATAATTTCTAACGAGCCTTCCTAGTAGATAGAGAGACATATCGCAGTTTCGTGAAGAATTAACAAGTCCCTCGTATCTGGGGTAATTTGGCGCCAGAGAGTTCCATACTTTCCCGAAAAGGATTGTAGTCTATAATTGCTCAAATTTGGCGCAAGAGAGTTCTATACTTTCCCAAAAAAGGATTACACGTTTGTAGTCTATAATTTCGAACGAGCCTTCCTAGTAGATAGAGAGACATATCGCAGTTTCGTGAAGAATTAACAAGTCCCTCGTATCTGGGGTAATTTGGCGCCAGAGAGTTCCATACTTTCCCGAAAAGGATTGTAGTCTATAATTGCTCAAATTTGGCACAAAAGAGGAAGGGTCTATACTTTCCCAAAAAAGGATTACACGTTTGTAGTGTATAATTTCTAACGAGCCTTCCTAGTAGCTAGAGAGACACATGGCAGTTTCGTGAAGAATTAACGAGTCCCTCGTAATGGCTTCTGGGTGTTTCCAGGTGGGTGCCAGTGCGTGCTCTCACCCAGTGGCGTACCAACTTGTTTTTTAATGGGGGGGGGGGGGGGGGGGGGGGGGCAAACCAGACCCCCCCCAGGGCCAGGCAGCGGTGCACTTGGTATCCCTCGAGCGCTACCGGCCAGTGTTCGCCCTGCCCAGGGGCGGTTGTTTCAGGGGGGGCAAAACACATACCTTGCCCCACCACTTTGAGAGCTGGGGGGGCAAGTGCCCCCCTTGCTCCCCCCCCGGTTGGTACGCCCATGCTCTCACCTGAGCTGCGAGTGGAGCTTGGTTGCCTTGGCCAGGAAGTCCTCCCAGATGGGGGTGCCTCCCTGGGAGATAGACAAGGGCCCCTTAAGCCACCACACTTGCCCCACACACTCAGCCCATCCAAATCAAGCGGCCTTTCCTTTCAAAGACAAATTCCTCTACCAACATCCTTCAATGGCACACAAAGACATTATGGATATACAAAATTACAAATTCACTTTTCCATATTTTCTCACCTGACCGGTACAGGCAAACTCATACAGGTGATACTAAAGTGAGAAAGATTAAACTTGAAGAAAAAAAGAACACCGCTTCCAACATGTACACTCCAGAAGCAGGGCAAACTTCTACAATTTCATATCACTCCCGCAAACGTACGAGAAAAAGAAAAATGGTGCTTTCATTGGGGTTCAGACAAACTTGACAGGCTTAGGTATAAGCGAAAAAAAAAAAAAAAAATCCGATAGTCTAGTCCTTCATGTGAATGAAACTGCCCATAGAAACAAGTAAAAACAAGCACCAAATTCAGCATTTCATTTTTCTCTCTCAGTTTTGTCATTATTCCACAGTGATAAACCCTAGGTTAGGAACAAATTAAATAAAAAAGGACAACCATACGCGGGGGGAGGGGGGAGGGGGGGGGGGCGCAATTGTATAAATGTGACAATGAGAAATAAAATTAGCAGACATGTTTTTTAGACTGAGTGTACGGCTGTCTTGCTTGTTATTTGTTCCCAGTCTCCTATTTATCATGGTGTAGTTAGTTCACCAGTTTGCCTTCGTTTTTTCACTTTCATCTTGTCAAGATGTAATTTTTTTTGCTCCTTTGATCATTTTGTGATTATACGTCAGTGATTACGAATCAGTGTCGTACAAATGATGGTCATCTTTGTGTGGCATTATCATGCTAGGTTTGGAATTTTAAAACGTTTTTGCAAATTGTTATCTATTTATTTTGCTCTTTTAATCATTTTTTTGCTGCTTTGATCATTTTGTGATTATACGTCAGTGATTACGAATCAATGTCGTACAAATGATGGTCATCTTTGTGTGGCATTATTTAGCTGGGTTTGGAATTTTAAAACGTTTTTGCAAATTGTTATCTATTTATTTTGCTCCTTTAATCATTTTTTTGCTGCTTTGATCATTTTGTGATTATACGTCAGTGATTACGAATCAATGTCGTACAAATGACGGTCATCTTTGTGTGGCGTTATCTAGCCAGGTTTGGAATTTTAAAATGTTTTTGCGAATTGTTTTCTATTTATTTTGCTCCTTTATCATTTTTTGCTGCTTTGATCATTTTGTGATTATACGTCAGTGATTATGAATCAATGTCGTACAAATGATGGTCATCTTTGTGTGGCATTATCTAGCTAGGTTTGGAATTTTAAAACGTTTTTGCGAATTGTTTTCTACTTATTTTGCTCCTTTAATCATTTTTTTGCTGCTTTGATTATTTTGCGATTATATGTCAGTGATTACGAATCAATGTCATACAAATGACGGTCATCTTTGTGTGGCATTATCTAGCTGGGTTTAGAATTTTAAAACGTTTTGCGAATTGTTTTCTATTTATTTTGCTCCTTTAATCATTTTTTTGCTGCTTTGATCATTTTGTGATTATACGTCAGTGATTACGAATCAATGTCGTACAAATGACGGTCATCTTTGTGTGGCATTATCTAGCTGGGTTTAGAATTTCAAAACGTTTTGTGAATTGTTTTCTTATTTCTTGTAATATTGCATTCGTCTGAGGACAGATTAATCCTTGTTTATATTTGTAAAATAATTTCTACGAATTTGTGCGACAAGTGTGCATGTTTGTAGCTATGTAGATATATGCATTTTTGTTTACTTTCTTTACGTATATGGCAACTAATGCAAGTTGTGCTGTTGGAATGACGTGTTCAAAAGGTTCCAACGTGTTCGAAAGGTTCGAACGCTGGCGAGGACAGACAAAGGCAGCTAGCTTTGCCTCTACCCTTCCAACCTGAGTATTAGCAACTATTTTCACAAGCAAATCATATTTTTCTACCACACGGTTTACAAAATAGGGAAAATTACTCCTATTGGCGGTGTGTGCGAGCTATTCGGTGCACTTCTCTAGCCATCAACATCACTGTTTATGATGTAGCAGGTACGAGAGTCCGGTCAAACGACGCAGATCTCTCGGCTTGTCAGGGTAACGGGGGAGAACCGGTTTCGCAAACTGCATTTATTAACGGGCTGTCTAGCAAATTACTATTTTGAAATTCCCCGACTTTTCCAGGTTTTCCCTAGAAATTTTAGGTGAGGTTCCCTGACCACTGTAGGGGTGGTTAAATATATAAGACCATAACAACACAAAGCATTGAGCATTGCGCACCGTGAGGATAATTTTTCACGGGCTTAATTCAACTTGCATATTCCGAAATATTTGGGTTCGTCCAGTCCGGATTAAACGAGCACTTTCTCGCCACCGACATCGTCAGTGAAGAGGCCTGAATCCAATCCAATTCAATCCAAAGCTTGGACTGGATTTGTCGGCTGTTCCCTTTGCATCGGTTAGCACACTCTACATCCGGTGAGCAAAGCCTGAGCTCCGCTCTAAGCAGAATTTATTCCCTATTTTTCTGCCCCCGAGTCCTCAAGCCTTTGCTTGGGCACTCAATGGCGTTTCCGGCTCATTTTCCCTGAATGGGCCAACTTTTTGACAATATCCCTGAAAATTCCACAATTTTTCCCGGTAATCAAAATTTCCCTGGCAATTCCCGGTAGCTAGACATTCTGATTTGGTGGAGTGATATTTCAAGATGCGTAGTGGTGCTCAGCAAGCACCTTTGGTGCTCAAGTATCCAAGCTTCAGGACGGTGCTGTACCCTTGTCTACCCAAGCACAAAGGTGCTACATAATGAAAATAGAATTTAATAATAATAATAATAGCTTTATTTACCATGTATAAGCATGGTGGGGGCTGAGGAAAAAAGCTGTCCAAGCAGCTTGACTGGTCCTCAGCCCCCTTCAGGTACATACACTGGCGAGAAAGACATTTAAAAAGTACACAAGAAATGATATAATAATAATACAAGGTACTTTCATCATAACAATGAACAACAGACAACTATCAGCAATACATCAAACAAGATTAACACTTGCCGATAAAAGAAATCGGGAAGTTGTAGACAACAAAGGGAAAACTATCCAAAATATTCCAAGATGCTTCAACACAATATATATATATATATGTACACATATATACACATACATATATATATATATATACATGCACATACACATCCAGTGCTTTACTCCAGTGCCTACAGCAGGGAACAAGCTCAAACTTCTATGATTACCCCAACGCAAAATTGAAAAATGGGCACACCGAATTCGAGAACATCTCCCGTGTAACACTTGAATGAAAGTGAGTTGGCATATCCTGTCAGTTTTACCTAGAGTCACTAAATGAGCTGCGCTTAGAGTATTGGCATTCCGTTCCCCGACATTGTTGTGGGCGCCGCCATTTTGGGTCGCATGCAGAGCGGACGCAACTGCCGATCGTCATGATTCAAAAGTGCGACTTCCTCAGCATTAGATCCGGTGTTAGGAAGGTCATGTAATATTGCTTTGCTCTGTCCTGAACTGTTTAAACATTTGTGGAGGACAGAACAGCATTTCCTGTGATTTCAGATAACGCTGCAGATAACTGGCAACCATGATTTTAAGACACAAAATGGCCAAGTGTCGCTACTCTGAAGCGTAGCTCATTTAGTGGCACTAGTACACACCTGCTACGCACTAGGGCCGCTGCTATGTGTTTGTTGACTCAAAGAATCAACCTTTTTCACATATAGACGACACCAAGCGGCTCCAACTGCGGCTAGTCCGAGTCGCGGAAGAGGCGGCGGAGGTACCGTTTTTCCGGAGGATGCCAACCGAAGCTTTCACCACTGCAAGAAGAAGGCCTGCACACATGCAGAACCCTTCTTGAGAAAGGTCTTATTTTGACAAAATGTGCCGCAAGACAAGGACACAGTAAGTAAGACAACACAAAGCGCTTCGTGTTGTCCTCTTGCAGCACATTTTGTCAAAATAAGTCACGTACCAACTGGCCCATCTGTCACTATTGATGAAAAAGGTCCATTGTGCGAAACCTGAATGGCAGCCAACAACCGTCGAACCACATTGGGACGAAAGTGTTGGCAGCTTTCATTAGCAAGAGTGTTAAGCATCCCATCCAACGCGGTCCCCCATGTCAAGTGCCATGCTGTCGGAATCCTGTCGGTTGGGCATACCCTTGGCTTCCCATGGACTGTCAAGCCGGAGAGCAACCTAAAGCAGAACACGCGTCTGCCGCTGGGGTCACACCGCCAGAAGTGTCGGGCGGAGAGACCACCGTCTAGGACGCAGCACCAGTCAAACACTCTGCCGACTGCAAAAACCCAACAAGGTCGTCTCTACCTTGTTGGATCCATGCGATTACTCAGCATGTCCTTTGCTCAGAACCCTACCTGCTACGTCGTAAGAAAGCACCTACCAGATGGCGCCACCGAAACATCTAGTCTTCGATAAAAGACGCACCGGTAGGAGCTATGACACATAGCTATTAGTGTAAACTATTAGGTGGGGTATTATTATTTTAATACTTATATCAAGCTATGCTTTTCCCACCTTCATAAAAAGGGATATATTTGAGCAAGATGCAAATTTACCAGAGGCAAGGAAAACACAGAGCAAACCAAGGGAGCAGACATGCAAGCTCCTATCTGTCCTTTCTACTAGTCTGCTAGTTCTCTAAGTGTGAAGTCGTTGCTGGATTGCACTTGCCTTCAAGCAGATATAGAACATGTTTCGAATTGGTGCGTCAAAAACTGCTTGGCACTTAATCCCGCGAAATCTAAATACACTGTGCTATCAAAAAAGCGTGAGTTCATTCATTTTTGCTACAACCTACAAGGCGCCTCGATGCCTCGCATATCCGTTAGCAGGATCGGTGTGTTCATGTTGATAGTGCACAGGTTTTCAATGAACATGCGTCGGTAACCATTAATGCTGCGTTCGGAGTGCTAGGCGTAATTTCTAG